TGTAAAGCACTTTGAGTATCTTGATTGGATAGAAAGGTGCTATATAAGTACAGTCCATTTACCATTTACAAGTGTATGAATGAGAGATAGGCCGGTGGAACAGTGAGGTTACAAGGAGCAGAGGTCACAAAGGTGCAGGACTTCAAGTACTTGGGGTCCACTGTCCAGGAAAATGGGGACTCTGGTAAAGAGGTGAAGAAGAGTGTCCAGGCAGAATGGAGTGGATGGAGAAAAGTTTCAGGAGTGATTTGCGACAAAAGGGTTTCAGCAAAGGTCAAAGGAAACTTTTTCAAGACAGTTATGAGACCAGCTATGTTGTATGGTCTGGAGACAGTGGCATTAACAAAAAGGCAGGAGAAAGAACTGGAAGTGACAGAAATGAAGATGTTGAGGTTCTCCTTAGAAGTGACAAGGATGGATAAGATTAGGAATGAGCTCATCAGAGGTATAGCACAGAATGAACAACTGGGACTGAGATAAAGTTAGAGAGACCAGACTGAGATGGTTTGGACTTGTCCAGAGGAGGGACAGTGGGTATACTGGTAGAAGGATGTTAGAAATGCAGCTGTATAAATAAAGGTTGAATGAAAAGAAAAAAGTTTGTATTGAGTAGATGGGTATGAATACAGCAGCATATACAATACAGCAAGAAAGAAGCAGGCAAAAGATAATGGATGGAAAAGGGTAGAGTGCCTTCTTTTGGGGGGGGGGGGGGGTGTCTGCCCCCAAGTAGAAGAGTTTACGTATCTTGGGGTCTTGTTCACGAATGAGGGAAAAATGGAGCGAAAGATCGATAGATGGATAGGTGCGCCATCTGCAGTGAAGCGGGCGCTGTTGTGGTGAAGAGAGAGCTGAGTCAAAAGACGACGCTCTCAATTTACCGGTCGATCTGCATTCCGCGTTCCTACCCTCATCTATGGTCATGAGCTTTGGGTTGTGACCGAAAGAACGAGATCATGGATACAAGCGGCCGAAATGAGTTTTCTCAGCACTGTGTCTGGGCTCTCCCTTAGAGATAGGGTGAAAAGCTCGGTGATCCAGGAAGGACTCAGAGTAGAGCTGCTGCTTCTCCACGTCGAGAGGAGCCAGTTGAGGTGGCTCAGGCATCTGGTTAGGATGCCTCCTGGATGCCTCCCTGGTGATGTGTTCCGGACACGTCCCACCGGGAGGATACCCAGGACAGGACACACTGGAGGCACTATGTTTCTCAGCTGGCTTGGGAATGTCTTGGGATTCCCCCTGGAGGAGCTGACTCAAGTGGCTGGGGAGAGGGAAGTAGGGGCCTCCCTACTTAGGTTGCTACCCCCTCGACCTGACCCCGGAGAAACAGAAGAAAATGGATGGATGGATGGACAGTAAACCTGTTTTTATTTTTGAGGCAACCTGTGTTAAAACATTCATCACTTGAACCACCTGATGGCCTTTCCTTCAGTCACACCTGTTTTCTGTAAATATGCCGGCTTACTTCTCTGTTAGTCTTTTAATTTGGGCAGAAAGTTCCTCACAGGTGGGCTTCCCCACCTCCTCATCATTTGACTCAAGCATCCATCTTTTTAATGTGACTGGCTCCTGTTGTGCTGTAATATTAGCGTTGTTCTCCTGTTAGGGCTTTTACTTTAATGGGCATAGTTAAGTCACGGGGAGCTCATATATTCGGCACATTATCTTTATTGACGTGTGTGCCGGTTTGCTTGTGTGTGTCTGTTAACGGAATACCTCATAAACCACTTGACGGATTTTGATGAAACTTGCAGAAATTAACTATTAGCTGTAATTCTACAACATATTAACTTTTAGAATGAACCAGAGACAGGATGGCTGCCGAAGCCAACTGACTTTGAAAAACACAAAAATTACTGTAACGTAGTCAGTTTTACAGATACTGACCTAAAGTTTGGCATGCTAATAGCTAAGGCTAATACCCAAGACATATTCTGAGCTCTAACAGATTGCACAAGAGTTTTATTCTAAATTTTGCCATTAACTCTTTGGATTAAACTTTGTCTGTCTGTTAGCAAAATATTTCACGAACCACTGGATGGATTTAAATTGATTTTTAGGATATAATCCTTGAATGCCCACTTACAACTGAAAAGCTATTGGAGCCAACCTAATAAGAGATGTCTGCCACAACCATTTGACCTTAAAAATCACACAAATGGCTATAATTCTGTCAATTTTATAGATGATGACCTCAAATTTGGTGTGGTTGTCACTGGGAGTCGGTTGCAAGACATTCTCCAAGGGCTACTCATTGTACAAGGTGCTAGCTTAAAACTTTAACCATAACTGCTGGAGTCAACCCTGGTTGTCTGTTAGCGAACATATATCAAGAAACACTGGATAGATTTTATTGAAATTCTCAGAATGTAATGATTCAGTATACGTCTGCAACTGATTAACTTTTGGAAAAAACCTACTTCAAACTGGTTGCCACAGCTAATCGAGTTTAGTCAGCACATAAACAGCTATAACTCAGCTAATTTTACAGACGTTGAGGAAAAATTTGATGCGTAGTAGTTGAGAGTCATTTACAACAGATACTCTGAGCGTGACATCTCAGAATATTGCATGAGTTCAAAATGTTTTGTCACTGTTGGCTATAACTGCATTTTCTAAACATAAGGGGATCTTAGTTTAAAACTCAAGCATGAAGCATTCACACTATTGTGATCCTTTTTTTTTTTCAGTACATTTTCGGCGCGTTTCTCGTCCCGCAGTTTTCAACAAATCATACATCAACACGTTCAGCTCTTTCAGGACAATCCTGCTATGACTTTTGGTATTGGTGTAACTTTAGCTTTTTGAAATATTTAGCCTTTTCTGCCATGTTTTTAATCATAGAAAATGAATTGAGCTCATTTTACATCCTTCATATCTGCTCATTTCTTTCAGCATAGTTGGGCAAACATGTTCTTTCTGATTTTTTATGCGAATTTAACCTTGTCTACCTTTTCAGCTAATTTTTTAGCTAATTTCTGCTGTTTTCAGATAAATTCAAGTGTTTCATGGTAATTCCTGCTACTTTCAGCTTAATTAACTTTTTTTTTCTTCTTTCGGCTGCTCCCTGCGTTAGGGGTCGCCACAACGAACTAAGTCGCACGAAGACTTGGCAGTTAACACTCAGTTAATTAACTTATTTCTGCTAATTTCGGCTTGTTGTGCTTTTTTCAGCTAGTTTCAGCCACTATTTTATTTCATTTCATTTTGCCATTTCAGCTATTATTTAGCAGTTTTTTAAGCCAATTTTAGCTTTTTCAGCTAATTCCACATTATTTTAAATCAGTTCATCTGTTTCCACTTCCTTCCAGTAAAATAAGCTTTTTTCTGCCTTTTCGACTACTTTAGCTGTTTTTTGCTCATTTTAGTTTTTTAGCTGATTTCCTGTTTTTTGCTTATTTAAAACTAATTCAGCATATATGTGTTCTTTCTGCTTTCTCCAGCTAATTTAGGCTTGTTCTTTCATTTCAACTACATTTCAGCATGTTTTTTTTAGCTAATTTCTGCTGTTTTTCAGCTAGTTCTTTTGCAATAAGACATTGCGAACGACTTCTCTTCCTCACACCACCGAACTCTCAAAAACCACAGACTCCCAAATAAATCTTTGCTAATTTGTGCATTTTAGCCTTGAAACTGTGCAAATGCGAATAAATGTACCACAGAGGAGATAGTGGGCTTTCAGAGCTCAGCCGTCCCACACAGGCCGTGCAACGTGCCATCGTCTGATTCGGCTCGCTCTCTGCATCTGTTCCCACTGCGACTGCCAAGGGAAAAAGGGCTCCAACGTGGAGTGGCTTTGAACCGACTTTGCTGCGAGCGTGCTGTCGTTTTTCCTGCTCGTCTGAGCTCACAGTCATTCGGCTCGTCCCTCACTCGCTCTGCGTCTCCTCCCAGCGGCGAGGCTTGAGGTGCGTGCGCGTTATGACACATGGAGTAAAAATCAGCTGGTCACATTGGGACGGGTTTCTTTTTTTTTTTTTTTTTTCCCCCTTCGTTCACAAACATGACTGATAGAGAATATCCAACACCGAGCCAGGAAATAGCCCTGATTCCTCTAACGTTATTGAATTTCCTGTCACTTAGAAATAATATAGATGAGGCAGGAGTCTGCAACACGAGGCTGTCGGTCCCGCTGCAGTTCCTCTTTGTAGCTTTAAGTGAAAATAACAACTAAATGTATGGATTTTCATATCAGTCACAAAAACAGCTAGTTTTAGCTGGGGGGGATATTTTTTAACTGCACCAGTTCTTGAGCATTTCTAATATGTTTCAGGTTATGAAAATGATACCTCTAAAAGATAATTTTGAGAGGCTTATATTTGTACCTTAAATTGTTACAACGAAATGAAACTTAAAATATTCAAGTGATTGCATCCGCTGAACTCTAAAGCAGGATTATTCAACTAAATTGTTCAGGAGGGTCTCAGTTACTGAAAGCCATTAGCTCAGGGGTCATACATCAGGAAATTACTCTAATTTAAACTAATTTACTTACGATTAAAACTCCAGTTTTAAATAAGCTCATCGGTGGGCCAGACTGAGCTCACCTGCGGGCCGGTTGTGGCCCCCGGGCCGCCAGTTGAATAGCCTTGCTCTTAACCAAGAGAACAGAAAATAAATCAGCCAAAAACCCAGTGAGACAGATCGAACAGAACACATCAGGATTACCTGCGCAGGTATTCACAGTTTAACAGTTTGGGAGTAGAGGAGCAGCATGATTTATTTAAACTCAGACGTAACTGAGGTGTAAAGCAGAAACACGAGGGTTGAAGTGTCAGAATCAGGTCTGCTTGTGTTTGCAGCTGCATCCCTGATGTCCCAGCTGCACCACAGTTGGTGCCCGGGGCTCTGAAACAGCCTGAAATAGGTCATACTGTTTGCATCACTGGCTTCACAGTTCACCCGACGACACGGATCCACAAAACTGAGCCCTAAAATAAGATTCTGTTGAGTCACGTTTTCACTGTGCTTTGTCTTTATTTCCTTCCATCTGTCCTTAGGCTCTGGTGGGAGAAAAATACGGCAGCATCCGGGTGCCAGGGGAGGTGGAGTCAGCAGAGTTTGAGATGATCCTGGATGCAGCTGTGGAGGCGGGGCTGGACACACACATCTTGGAAGAGTGGTACTGCAGGGATGAAAACTCTGTGCCACCCGCTTACTACCTCAAACCCAAAGCCCAAATGCTCAAGAACTACCAGAACTCTGTGAGTCTAAGTTACATGTGATACCCTGCATGAGCTACATAAAAATAAATCTGAGAATATGGTCATTAAAATAACATTACAGTGTGGGGATTAGTGGATTATTTTTCAAGTTATCCAGCACACAAGGTTTACACACACACATATATATATACTGTACATGTATACATGCACACACTTTATTTATATATATATACTGTATATACAGTATATACTATATACACACACACACACATATATATATATATACACACACACACATATATATATATACACACACACACACACATATATATATATA